TGAGTGAGGTTTTGAGACTCCGAGATGGCAGTCACTTTTGGTTGCCAAGACCTGTCTAATGATTTTAATATTTTCACATTCAATTCATCAGTGTCAAAAGTCTTACCCAAACCTGTTAGGTGGTTCACAATGTGAGTGAAACGCTTCTGGACATCAGATATTGTTTCTTCAGGTTGCATTCTGAACATCTCATACTCTTGTATGAGTGTTTTCTTCCTTGCACGTTTTATGTCGTCTGTACCTTCATGTGTGACTTTGAGGACCTCCCACATTTCCTTTGTTGTCTTACACACTGAAATTCTATAAAATTCATCAAGTACTACAGCAGATGAAATAATATTATGAGCCTTAATATCAAATTGGGCTCTTCTATTTTCCTCAGGAGTCCAGTTAAAGTATGGTTTTTCTACTTCTATACCATCAACAGTTATTTTAGGAATATAGGGACCATTTAGCACAGCTTACCAGATGCCTCTGTCAACAGACCCATAAAAATTTCCATTCTGACTTTCCAAAAGGAATAGTTATCACTAGTAAAAAGAGGTGGTCTGTTGATGGATGCACCCTCAGCATATACTTGATTTTGATGACCGACCATTTTCGCAAAAGTTTGAAAAAATATCAAAGCAAGCTCTGATACCAATTGTCGGAACAATCAGTACCGTTATAGAGTCGCTCAGCGGAATAAAATATTTGAAAAGCGTGTTATGATCACAAATCAAGTTTTGATGGTCCGTTTTAGAAAAACAATTTTCTTAGAGAAAATTTATCAAACAGTTGATGTGCATAAAACAATAAAGAGAGTAGGGTGAAGAAAAATTGATACACTGGATTTTTATCCTGGTTCGATTCAAAAGAATCTACGTCCAGTTGTTAATCACTATAAAAAGTGATTAACGTTTTCACTAAAATCAGTTTCACAAATTACAATAAGAGTGAACAAAAAACAAAGAGATAAAACCTTCCTTCAACGAACGAACTGGAAGATGACCACCTTGCCAACTCGAAGAGAACCGCTCCGACTATCGACACACGAAACGCGAGCTTCTCCTATTCACGAGACCAGGCAAAGCACTTGAACTAGCTTTTTAGAACTTCCTCAGACACACTGTATTCTCAAAAAGCTCAGAGTTCTTTCTAAGAGTTTTGGAGCTCACCTATATAGCCTATCGGTCTAAGTTCTGAAAGATGAATTATAACTGCCACAGATAATCGATTATTGTTAGTGATAATCGATTATTCGAGTCCGTTACAGGGTTTTTCAAAAAGTGATAATCGATTATCCTCAGGAATAATCGATTATTCCAGAGACTTTGGCAGTTCTCATCAGAATAGTGATAATTGATTATTTGGAGTAATAATCGATTATTCCAGAGCAACGAGGTTTTTCATAAGGGCTCAGGATAATCGATTATAACTTCTAATAATCGATTAAATGCGTAGCATTTCTAAAAATACGAATTTTTCTAAGTATTACATGTTTAAGGCTTTTCCTAATACATTTATAATCTACAAATTGCTTTTAAAACAACTATAACATTGTATCTTCTTTCAGCATCATCAAAATCATTTATCTTCAAATTTACCAATGCTCTTCATTAGTAACATGATCTTATAACTAATTGTTCATATAATAAAAAGAAAGATGTTCAATACTAAATTAAAATACTAAAAATATGATTAAGATGTTCATTACATTACTAAAAAAGAAACTATGTCTAATTTTATTGTTCTTTATTACATGCTTGCTTGATCGGATGCCTATAATATAATATAATAGTTAGTTGGTAATATATTTAATAAAAAGAATCGTACAAATGAATTTAGCAATTATTATCGGTGATGATTGAAATGTGGCAATCTGTGAAAGCAATGGACCCTGTTGAAGATACTTGTAACAGAAAAAATTATTTAAAAGGTAAGAAAAATAATATCTAATAAATTAATCATAAAAGTAAAAAACCAATCAAATAATTTATTTTAATCTTTATACATATGATTTTAAGTGATGGTTTTTAAGTATGTGGATCAAAAGGTTTTAAGTGATGGTTTTTAAGTATGTGGATCAAAAGGTAAAGTTAATTTAGCTATAAGCACCAACAGAGTAATTTAAGTGATGGTAGTTAACATTCACATTCTTACGCAAAGTGCAGAAGTCAATGGACATTATGGTCAGGTTTAAGCATTTAAATATAACAATAGTAAATAAAATCTACACCTTATTATGACAAATTTGAACCATAATTGTGCAAGGCAAAACAACATAAAAAGATGTCCACCGAAATTGCTTAAAATAAATGGTATGAACAATTACCAGATATGGTTAGAATTGCCATGCAATACACAGGGTATTCATCAACCTGAACAAGTGAAGTAATAGATAATGACATTCTCACAGTCAACCGTATTACATTGATAAGAACATAAGATAAAGCTTTCAATAATTACAAAGAAGAAAAACAAGAATTAGAATATAATGAAAAGAAAGTTCTGAAAGTCCTTCAAACACCAAAATAATAAAACAAGCTACTCTAAGCAAGTAATGATGTTTCACCATTGCTATTCTTTGCCAGTTCTCGCCACCTACATAGACCACTTGTGATTTTCTTGTATAATATCAGCAGTTCCAACAGACAAACCATGATGTCATAATTGCATAAAAACATTTTAAATTAAAAATATTGATACTATAAGTTATAATGAAATAGTAATTATAAATATATGATAAAAATATATATTTACAATTATTATAATATGGTCATTATGTGTATGAAAAGTGTAAAGCACAACATAAAATGAGTGGAAGAAAAATAAATTAATTAGTAAAGTATCAATTAATGGTAACACAATGTATTCTACTTGAACAACTATTAGATAACAAGATTGGTCATTTGTTAAATCAAGTTTTCCGCAAATAAACTCACATCAAAAACATGTTAAAGATGCTAATTCTACCTACAATCGGATGATCTTGTAGGTCACCACTGGACGTGTAGCCTTACCCTTTTGCATCACAAATTTGATGAGTTAGTTTCTTTAATAGTACTTGCATAGGTATATGTACCTTGAAAACATGAGGTGCGCCATGAATTTGTATATGACTGGAAGTTCTCTGACCAGGAAAGAAATACATTTTCAAAATGGAGCCTTTCCCCAAAACAGAACAATTTCTTGCCTTGACAATGGCTTCCATCACAGCGTCTCCATGTTGAGACTCTTGTGGCTCTCAACTCCTCCTACAATATAATTGACATTCTTGAATAAATCATGCTTCAAATTAGGGAATGTAATATTGCAAATAGAAAGGTTGAAAAATACTTCTAGGGACAGTGAAAAAACTCCCTGGTCTTAATCTGATGCTTCATTTCATAGCCTGCACCTCTGGCCTTTGATGCAACCAAACCTTAAATGTCATTCTCGATTCTCCTTGTCCACAAAATCCATCAAATGCTTCACTTCCAAGATATGCTGCAAAAGCAATTAAACGAAAGTCCTGCTCCAAGTACTCAACACCACGATTCAATGCCACCCTCCTTACCCTAGGCTCAACATGTTGTTGATTGAATACTTTTCTATACTACAAGATTGCTTAAAATAAATTCTTACTAATTGATTATACATCACTTGTGAAAGAATAAAGATATCTATAATAAAATGTAGGGATCTCACAGTATACATACTCTTGGTTTTCTGTTGGTTTGAAAGACTTGACTTCTATTTGTTTCCCTGTAACCAATGAAGTGGTGACAATCCTGTAGTCCAATTCTTTCAGTTTAGTTTACAGAAAAATGAATGATAATCAGATAAGAAAGTTTAAAAGATGTTTGTGCATACCCATGGAGCTGTTGATGGTAGCGGCGGAGGATGTCTCCAACACCGACAACATCCAAAGCATTCCAAGCATTTTTCCATAAGGACAAAGAAAAGCCAGTGGTGTTTCTAGGTGCTACATGCCATTCCATGGGGGACAAAAATTTTAGACAAAACTAGCTCCCATGATAATAGTGGCCTACAGTGATTGTAGTAATTCTTATTATATATCACAAGAAAATCTTCATGGACTCGAAAAAAATGTAAATTCTAGACAAGACAACCTAACTACAACTCTTTATCCTATGAAAGAACAACAAATCCAACTAAATGTTAACCCAACTCCAAAGGACTACAAAGAAGTAGAAAACAAGATTGATTATATCATAGCCATCTTGCAAGATATTCTGTACAGTTATAATTGAGGTTGACACCATCCAATTGTGAAAAACTTCACATCCTTTAAGATCCTGTAGAGGATGAGGCATCCACTAAGGTGTATAATTTTCATGATCCAATCAATCATTTTCCACAGGCAGAACTTAAAAGTATATGAATCCTTCAAAGGAATTAGAAACATCTAAGTAACACTAATCATCAAATGATGTGATATATGTTAAAATTATATACACGGACAGTAGGAACCTGTTGTTTACCTAAGGAAGTAATGGATCATGAATATATCGTTTCTCAACTTCACCGTATATTGGTATCTGTTGATGAACCTTGATAGAATCCTCTTGATAGAAACATTTTTTTCCCAAACCTTGATTCATCAACCACATGTTCCTCCCATTCACAGGCACCGATCCCCAACAAATCAACTTCCCAACACCCTTGGAACTCAAAACCCCTTTCGCAACCCAAATCCTTGCATCCCTAAAGGGAACCAAACACTTATCCCTGGCGAAGCCTGTACATTTCTCCTTAGCCACGGCGAAACAATCCGCCCTATCCTGCACTTCGCACTCCTCCCGTTCCTTCAGATCGTGAAGTGTGAGGCCTGCCAGAGCCTTCCACCACGTAGGCTTACAGTTCCTGGAAGCGCTGACGGCACATCCGATCCTCGCTCCCTCCTTGCATTGCTCAACGATTTTGTTCTTACAGGCAACGAACGAAGACGCCCACACTCAACGATTTCTGGAAATTCAAGCGACAATGACGAGGCACGGGGCGAACGACGCACACTCAGTAACGAAGGACGAAGGGCGTAGGGTAAATTACCAATCAATTTCCATAAATGAAATGAAGAAGAAAGACCTGTGAAAGGAAGAAGAGCTTGTGAAATGAAGAAGAACTTAACTGAAGAAGAAACACAAATGCAGCAAGAAAAGCCTGTGAAATGAAGAACTTAATTGAAGGAAGCACAAATCAGCGAGCGGGATATATTTAACATTTGCAGGCGGTTTCATTAAAATAAACCTCTAGTATATTATATTATTTTTGTAGTGAATTACATTAAAGTACAATTAAAAAATTATACTATCTTAAAATTTAAAAAATAGACATAAAACAAAACAATTATTTTATTGAAAACCCGATAATCAGGAACAAAGTATATGGAAAAACTTATTTTTTCAATTAACATATACAAATCTAGAAAGATTGAAGAAAAAAATGAAGAAGTTTATCTTCAAAATATCTTAAACTAAATTTTAATGTCTCACATTATGTTAGCTTCCGTTGACTTTATTAGCTGCAGAAGAAAACAAAAGACAGTAATGAATGCACGGTTTGGGAAGCAAGAATTGGGAAGATTGACCGAGAATTGAACAGGAAGATATGTATTCTTTATTTCTTCTTAAATCAAATACTAGGATGACCATGGGCGTCCATGGACTATTTATTATCCATCTTCATTTTGTAAAATAAAAGTTTGTGTGAATTTTATATTTAATAGGTATACAAATTTTATTTTGTTTGTCTGTTATGATGGTTTGCTTATGAGTGTTGTTTGATAAGTAATGCTTGATGATGCTTTAATATTGATTGATGTTGAGATGTGCACATTATATGTTTATACAGGTGATTCACAAGCTTTGTGAACAAATGCATGATGTTGTGATTGTGATTATGATACTAAGCATAAAATGTATATGTGGAATATGAATGAGCTTATATGTGAGGTTTTGAGCTCTAGAGTTTTTGTGATTGAATGCTATTACTTTGAAAGCATGAATGATTTTGCCCAGGTTTTCTATAATTGAATCAATTGCTTGTTTGCATCATATGATCAAGGTCATTTGTTGGTAACCCTTTTATTAGCCAAATTCATGAATTTAGCCCACTAAAAGAGAGCACTATTTTTTCTATCATTTGAACCTGTAGCCTTGAACATAATTTGGAAACCCCTTGTGAAAAGCTTTACCTTGAGTTAAGTAGAAAATATTTTGTGGTATTGACAAATGTTAAAGTTTGGGGTTGCTGGGAAGTTATGAAAGGGAAATTGAAAGCATTGAGCTAAGAGCTAAGAATNAAGAAAAATAAATTAATTAGTAAAGTATCAATTAATGGTAACACAATGTATTCTACTTGAACAACTATTAGATAACAAGATTGGTCATTTGTTAAATCAAGTTTTCCGCAAATAAACTCACATCAAAAACATGTTAAAGATGCTAATTCTACCTACAATCGGATGATCTTGTAGGTCACCACTGGACGTGTAGCCTTACCCTTTTGCATCACAAATTTGATGAGTTAGTTTCTTTAATAGTACTTGCATAGGTATATGTACCTTGAAAACATGAGGTGCGCCATGAATTTGTATATGACTGGAAGTTCTCTGACCAGGAAAGAAATACATTTTCAAAATGGAGCCTTTCCCCAAAACAGAACAATTTCTTGCCTTGACAATGGCTTCCATCACAGCGTCTCCATGTTGAGACTCTTGTGGCTCTCAACTCCTCCTACAATATAATTGACATTCTTGAATAAATCATGCTTCAAATTAGGGAATGTAATATTGCAAATAGAAAGGTTGAAAAATACTTCTAGGGACAGTGAAAAAACTCCCTGGTCTTAATCTGATGCTTCATTTCATAGCCTGCACCTCTGGCCTTTGATGCAACCAAACCTTAAATGTCATTCTCGATTCTCCTTGTCCACAAAATCCATCAAATGCTTCACTTCCAAGATATGCTGCAAAAGCAATTAAACGAAAGTCCTGCTCCAAGTACTCAACACCACGATTCAATGCCACCCTCCTTACCCTAGGCTCAACATGTTGTTGATTGAATACTTTTCTATACTACAAGATTGCTTAAAATAAATTCTTACTAATTGATTATACATCACTTGTGAAAGAATAAAGATATCTATAATAAAATGTAGGGATCTCACAGTATACATACTCTTGGTTTTCTGTTGGTTTGAAAGACTTGACTTCTATTTGTTTCCCTGTAACCAATGAAGTGGTGACAATCCTGTAGTCCAATTCTTTCAGTTTAGTTTACAGAAAAATGAATGATAATCAGATAAGAAAGTTTAAAAGATGTTTGTGCATACCCATGGAGCTGTTGATGGTAGCGGCGGAGGATGTCTCCAACACCGACAACATCCAAAGCATTCCAAGCATTTTTCCATAAGGACAAAGAAAAGCCAGTGGTGTTTCTAGGTGCTACATGCCATTCCATGGGGGACAAAAATTTTAGACAAAACTAGCTCCCATGATAATAGTGGCCTACAGTGATTGTAGTAATTCTTATTATATATCACAAGAAAATCTTCATGGACTCGAAAAAAATGTAAATTCTAGACAAGACAACCTAACTACAACTCTTTATCCTATGAAAGAACAACAAATCCAACTAAATGTTAACCCAACTCCAAAGGACTACAAAGAAGTAGAAAACAAGATTGATTATATCATAGCCATCTTGCAAGATATTCTGTACAGTTATAATTGAGGTTGACACCATCCAATTGTGAAAAACTTCACATCCTTTAAGATCCTGTAGAGGATGAGGCATCCACTAAGGTGTATAATTTTCATGATCCAATCAATCATTTTCCACAGGCAGAACTTAAAAGTATATGAATCCTTCAAAGGAATTAGAAACATCTAAGTAACACTAATCATCAAATGATGTGATATATGTTAAAATTATATACACGGACAGTAGGAACCTGTTGTTTACCTAAGGAAGTAATGGATCATGAATATATCGTTTCTCAACTTCACCGTATATTGGTATCTGTTGATGAACCTTGATAGAATCCTCTTGATAGAAACATTTTTTTCCCAAACCTTGATTCATCAACCACATGTTCCTCCCATTCACAGGCACCGATCCCCAACAAATCAACTTCCCAACACCCTTGGAACTCAAAACCCCTTTCGCAACCCAAATCCTTGCATCCCTAAAGGGAACCAAACACTTATCCCTGGCGAAGCCTGTACATTTCTCCTTAGCCACGGCGAAACAATCCGCCCTATCCTGCACTTCGCACTCCTCCCGTTCCTTCAGATCGTGAAGTGTGAGGCCTGCCAGAGCCTTCCACCACGTAGGCTTACAGTTCCTGGAAGCGCTGACGGCACATCCGATCCTCGCTCCCTCCTTGCATTGCTCAACGATTTTGTTCTTACAGGCAACGAACGAAGACGCCCACACTCAACGATTTCTGGAAATTCAAGCGACAATGACGAGGCACGGGGCGAACGACGCACACTCAGTAACGAAGGACGAAGGGCGTAGGGTAAATTACCAATCAATTTCCATAAATGAAATGAAGAAGAAAGACCTGTGAAAGGAAGAAGAGCTTGTGAAATGAAGAAGAACTTAACTGAAGAAGAAACACAAATGCAGCAAGAAAAGCCTGTGAAATGAAGAACTTAATTGAAGGAAGCACAAATCAGCGAGCGGGATATATTTAACATTTGCAGGCGGTTTCATTAAAATAAACCTCTAGTATATTATATTATTTTTGTAGTGAATTACATTAAAGTACAATTAAAAAATTATACTATCTTAAAATTTAAAAAATAGACATAAAACAAAACAATTATTTTATTGAAAACCCGATAATCAGGAACAAAGTATATGGAAAAACTTATTTTTTCAATTAACATATACAAATCTAGAAAGATTGAAGAAAAAAATGAAGAAGTTTATCTTCAAAATATCTTAAACTAAATTTTAATGTCTCACATTATGTTAGCTTCCGTTGACTTTATTAGCTGCAGAAGAAAACAAAAGACAGTAATGAATGCACGGTTTGGGAAGCAAGAATTGGGAAGATTGACCGAGAATTGAACAGGAAGATATGTATTCTTTATTTCTTCTTAAATCAAATACTAGGATGACCATGGGCGTCCATGGACTATTTATTATCCATCTTCATTTTGTAAAATAAAAGTTTGTGTGAATTTTATATTTAATAGGTATACAAATTTTATTTTGTTTGTCTGTTATGATGGTTTGCTTATGAGTGTTGTTTGATAAGTAATGCTTGATGATGCTTTAATATTGATTGATGTTGAGATGTGCACATTATATGTTTATACAGGTGATTCACAAGCTTTGTGAACAAATGCATGATGTTGTGATTGTGATTATGATACTAAGCATAAAATGTATATGTGGAATATGAATGAGCTTATATGTGAGGTTTTGAGCTCCAGAGTTTTTGTGATTGAATGCTATTACTTTGAAAGCATGAATGATTTTGCCCAGGTTTTCTATAATTGAATCAATTGCTTGTTTGCATCATATGATCAAGGTCATTTGTTGGTAACCCTTTTATTAGCCAAATTCATGAATTTAGCCCACTAAAAGAGAGCACTATTTTTTCTATCATTTGAACCTGTAGCCTTGAACATAATTTGGAAACCCCTTGTGAAAAGCTTTACCTTGAGTTAAGTAGAAAATATTTTGTGGTATTGACAAATGTTAAAGTTTGGGGTTGCTGGGAAGTTATGAAAGGGAAATTGAAAGCATTGAGCTAAGAGCTAAGAATTAAGTATGTGAAAAGAAAAAGAAAAAGAGAAAGAAAAGAGAAGAAAAAGCAAAGCTCAATGCAAAGGAAAGTTGGGAATAAGTAAGATTGATGGTGTTTATATGATTCTCTTAACTCAAGGGTTTTGTGATCTAGAAAAACCAATTTTCTTGTTAGCCCAGCCACATTATAAGCCATAGAAAAGTCCTTGTGATGATGCTTGCTTGTAAGTGTTTTTGATTATAGTTAAATGAAAGGCAAAGTTGATTCATGTGACATTGTGATAGTAGAGTGAATGAATGAATACCTCTTAGACACTTGTGTGTTTGAGTGAAACACTTTATCTAGCGAGGAAAGATTCCATGAACATATAAGAACATCTTTGCTTAGTTGATTGATCATTCATGAAAAGTAGCATTTGTTGGATAGTATGTGATTGTGTGAACACTAAACCATGTGCATGTCTTGATTGAAATCTTTGTAATGAGCTGAATTGAGCACTTACTTATCTTGAAAAGGGAGTTTTGAATGTGGTGAACCATTATATGGATTAATGGAAGATTGAGTTACATGTTGTTTGCTTGAGGACAAGCAAAGTTTTAAGTTTGGGGTTGTGATAACGGTTGAAAAACCGTTATTTTTATGCTTAAAATTGATACCAAAAGCAACCTTTAAGACTTAGAAACTAGCTTGAACTCATATTTTTGCTTTAGTTTTTTGAATAAGAGAGTTAAAAGTGAATTTAATGGTTCTGTGCAAGATTCCCTTGATTTTGTAGGCTAATTGAATGGTTTGAAAGAAGAATTGAAGTACCGAATGATTGGAATGTTGAAAAATCAACCAGAAACCAGAAAAGTCAACTAGTCAACCAGAAAAGTCAACCAGTCAACCAAAATGCTGAGAAGTCAACCAGAATACAGAAAAAGTTCCGCTGAGCGGTAAAATACCGCTGAGCGCCACTTTTCAGGTGCCAAAATCACCGTTGAGGGGCAAAAACAACAGTTGGGGGCAAAATGGATCATGCGCTATTATCGCTCAACGGTAAAATACCACTAAGCGCCACTCTAAATGGTCTTGGACCAGTTTTCTGTTACTTTTATGGGCTTGGGCCTAATTTTCTGTATTTTTAGAATAGTATATAAGCTTTAGGACGTCCTAGGGTTTGTATCTTTGGCTGGGAGGAAGCAGAAACACATTTGTCACCCCTTGGGGGTAGATTGGGAGATGGTGACAACTCTCTTCTTTTCTTTCTAGGGTTTTTCTATCTCTTCCATTCTTTCATTATTGTTCAACTAGTTTCACCATGAATATGATGAACTAAACCTTGTATTATTGTTGGGGAATCAATGTAATCTTGTGAAACTCTCATATATGAAATTTGTGTTTAAACATCTTATTTGAGATACATGCTTTATTTCATCATTAGTTAGGGTTTTTCTTCTTTGCTCAAAGCATGCATTGTTTAACTCATGCGATGTCATGATTATTGATTTTGTCGATATGGGAACGTACGGGGAAATCTAGATCCGGGGAAATTCTCCCAATAGCATATTGCCTAGACATAGGGATATGAGAATTGGTTGCCTTTAAGCTTCTGTGCTTCAGAATTAATTATTAGGGATGCTAAGAATTGTATGAACTCGTAATTAAGGATAGGCTTTCTTGCAAGGTACTTTAGAGAGTGGCATTAACATTGATTAAAAGAATGATGACTTCCTAAAAGTATATGAGAGTGGATAAGATGAAATTGATTACCCCAACAACATACTCATCTATCTAATTTGTTCAAGTGTTTGTGTTCCTCTTTTCCATTGATCAAAACTCATGCATACATGTTTACTTATTGTCTTTTGCATTTAAAACCTCAAGAATTTGTTCACAAGTCTTAAATAATCAACAAATCATATAACTAACTAGGTCGTGAGTCCTTTGGGAGAATGATACTTGGTCTTACCGAGTTTATTACTTGATACAATTCGGTCACACTTGCCGAGGGTTAAACAAGTTTGTGGCGTCGTTTTTCGGTGTTCATAAATTTGTCATCAGCTTGCTGGGAGGCAACGGAGTTTCTGATTTTGTTTTTTTTTATTTAGTTGTGTGGTGTGGATTTGATTTTGTTTTGTAGTAATGACAGCATCTGCTGATGGATGTTGGACATCATCTACTGAGGGATGCTAAGAGGATTCAGATAACAACATCTACTGATGGATGCAACTACGAAGAATGATAACCGATTTTTCTGAACTTTTCTTTTTAGTTGATTTAATTGTGTGGTTTTGATTTGATTTTTTTCTTTGTGTGTTTGAGTTTTTTTTTAGGTTAAATGTTGCTTCTTATGGCAGTAATGATAACATCTATTGATGGATGCTTCTACAACATCTACTGATGGATGTTGCTATGATGAGGATGATGAATGAAAACATCTACTAATGGATGCTTCTATGGAAGAAGACGGTGACTAAACATCTACTGATGGATGTTAGGTGATTAGGCATCTACTAATGGATGCCGATGAAGATGAGTAAGATTTGTGTCTATTTATGGATACCAATGAAGATAAGAAATATTAGCATCTACTGATGGATGCTATGTGATTAGACATCTACTGATGGATGTTACTGACAACACTACTGATGAATGCTATGATGATGAAGATGGTGTCAAGCTAGTGACGTTAAAGAAGCGCTTACTAGGAGGTAACCCAGCTTTCTAAACCTTTCTTTTTAATCAATTATTTTGTTATTGTACTTTGCTTGAATGAACCACTCTGCTTTGATTTAACTGTGTTGTGTTTTGTGATGAGTATTGCTTTGTGATATTCTAGTGTATTGATTAATGTTGAGATGATGCATGATGTGCTGATATATAGGTGATGGCTCACAGTGTATGAAACAAGTGCTTGAGGTAAAACTTGACTGAGATACTGAGCGTGGTGTTTTTCTAAATTCTGGGACTTGTGAGTTTAACTGTATGAGATTTGGGCTTCAGAGTTTTTTGTGAATAATTGCTATTACTTTGGAAGCATGAATGATTTTGCCCAAATTTTCTGTGATTGNAATTAAACGAAAGTCCTGCTCCAAGTACTCAACACCACGATTCAATGCCACCCTCCTTACCCTAGGCTCAACATGTTGTTGATTGAATACTTTTCTATACTACAAGATTGCTTAAAATAAATTCTTACTAATTGATTATACATCACTTGTGAAAGAATAAAGATATCTATAATAAAATGTAGGGATCTCACAGTATACATACTCTTGGTTTTCTGTTGGTTTGAAAGACTTGACTTCTATTTGTTTCCCTGTAACCAATGAAGTGGTGACAATCCTGTAGTCCAATTCTTTCAGTTTAGTTTACAGAAAAATGAATGATAATCAGATAAGAAAGTTTAAAAGATGTTTGTGCATACCCATGGAGCTGTTGATGGTAGCGGCGGAGGATGTCTCCAACACCGACAACATCCAAAGCATTCCAAGCATTTTTCCATAAGGACAAAGAAAAGCCAGTGGTGTTTCTAGGTGCTACATGCCATTCCATGGGGGACAAAAATTTTAGACAAAACTAGCTCCCATGATAATAGTGGCCTACAGTGATTGTAGTAATTCTTATTATATATCACAAGAAAATCTTCATGGACTCGAAAAAAATGTAAATTCTAGACAAGACAACCTAACTACAACTCTTTATCCTATGAAAGAACAACAAATCCAACTAAATGTTAACCCAACTCCAAAGGACTACAAAGAAGTAGAAAACAAGATTGATTATATCATAGCCATCTTGCAAGATATTCTGTACAGTTATAATTGAGGTTGACACCATCCAATTGTGAAAAACTTCACATCCTTTAAGATCCTGTAGAGGATGAGGCATCCACTAAGGTGTATAATTTTCATGATCCAATCAATCATTTTCCACAGGCAGAACTTAAAAGTATATGAATCCTTCAAAGGAATTAGAAACATCTAAGTAACACTAATCATCAAATGATGTGATATATGTTAAAATTATATACACGGACAGTAGGAACCTGTTGTTTACCTAAGGAAGTAATGGATCATGAATATATCGTTTCTCAACTTCACCGTATATTGGTATCTGTTGATGAACCTTGATAGAATCCTCTTGATAGAAACATTTTTTTCCCAAACCTTGATTCATCAACCACATGTTCCTCCCATTCACAGGCACCGATCCCCAACAAATCAACTTCCCAACACCCTTGGAACTCAAAACCCCTTTCGCAACCCAAATCCTTGCATCCCTAAAGGGAACCAAACACTTATCCCTGGCGAAGCCTGTACATTTCTCCTTAGCCACGGCGAAACAATCCGCCCTATCCTGCACTTCGCACTCCTCCCGTTCCTTCAGATCGTGAAGTGTGAGGCCTGCCAGAGCCTTCCACCACGTAGGCTTACAGTTCCTGGAAGCGCTGACGGCACATCCGATCCTCGCTCCCTCCTTGCATTGCTCAACGATTTTGTTCTTACAGGCAACGAACGAAGACGCCCACACTCAACGATTTCTGGAAATTCAAGCGACAATGACGAGGCACGGGGCGAACGACGCACACTCAGTAACGAAGGACGAAGGGCGTAGGGTAAATTACCAATCAATTTCCATAAATGAAATGAAGAAGAAAGACCTGTGAAAGGAAGAAGAGCTTGTGAAATGAAGAAGAACTTAACTGAAGAAGAAACACAAATGCAGCAAGAAAAGCCTGTGAAATGAAGAACTTAATTGAAGGAAGCACAAATCAGCGAGCGGGATATATTTAACATTTGCAGGCGGTTTCATTAAAATAAACCTCTAGTATATTATATTATTTTTGTAGTGAATTACATTAAAGTACAATTAAAAAATTATACTATCTTAAAATTTAAAAAATAGACATAAAACAAAACAATTATTTTATTGAAAACCCGATAATCAGGAACAAAGTATATGGAAAAACTTATTTTTTCAATTAACATATACAAATCTAGAAAGATTGAAGAAAAAAATGAAGAAGTTTATCTTCAAAATATCTTAAACTAAATTTTAATGTCTCACATTATGTTAGCTTCCGTTGACTTTATTAGCTGCAGAAGAAAACAAAAGACAGTAATGAATGCACGGTTTGGGAAGCAAGAATTGGGAAGATTGACCGAGAATTGAACAGGAAGATATGTATTCTTTATTTCTTCTTAAATCAAATACTAGGATGACCATGGGCGTCCATGGACTATTTATTATCCATCTTCATTTTGTAAAATAAAAGTTTGTGTGAATTTTATATTTAATAGGTATACAAATTTTATTTTGTTTGTCTGTTATGATGGTTTGCTTATGAGTGTTGTTTGATAAGTAATGCTTGATGATGCTTTAATATTGATTGATGTTGAGATGTGCACATTATATGTTTATACAGGTGATTCACAAGCTTTGTGAACAAATGCATGATGTTGTGATTGTGATTATGATACTAAGCATAAAATGTATATGTGGAATATGAATGAGCTTATATGTGAGGTTTTGAGCTCCAGAGTTTTTGTGATTGAATGCTATTACTTTGAAAGCATGAATGATTTTGCCCAGGTTTTCTATAATTGAATCAATTGCTTGTTTGCATCATATGATCAAGGTCATTTGTTGGTAACCCTTTTATTAGCCAAATTCATGAATTTAGCCCACTAAAAGAGAGCACTATTTTTTCTATCATTTGAACCTGTAGCCTTGAACATAATTTGGAAACCCCTTGTGAAAAGCTTTACCTTGAGTTAAGTAGAAAATATTTTGTGGTATTGACAAATGTTAAAGTTTGGGGTTGCTGGGAAGTTATGAAAGGGAAATTGAAAGCATTGAGCTAAGAGCTAAGAATTAAGTATGTGAAAAGAAAAAGAAAAAGAGAAAGAAAAGAGAAGAAAAAGCAAAGCTCAATGCAAAGGAAAGTTGGGAATAAGTAAGATTGATGGTGTTTATATGATTCTCTTAACTCAAGGGTTTTGTGATCTAGAAAAACCAATTTTCTTGTTAGCCCAGCCACATTATAAGCCATAGAAAAGTCCTTGTGATGATGCTTGCTTGTAAGTGTTTTTGATTATAGTTAAATGAAAGGCAAAGTTGATTCATGTGACATTGTGATAGTAGAGTGAATGAATGAATACCTCTTAGACACTTGTGTGTTTGAGTGAAACACTTTATCTAGCGAGGAAAGATTCCATGAACATATAAGAACATCTTTGCTTAGTTGATTGATCATTCATGAAAAGTAGCATTTGTTGGATAGTATGTGATTGTGTGAACACTAAACCATGTGCATGTCTTGATTGAAATCTTTGTAATGAGCTGAATTGAGCACTTACTTATCTTGAAAAGGGAGTTTTGAATGTGGTGAACCATTATATGGATTAATGGAAGATTGAGTTACATGTTGTTTGCTTGAGGACAAGCAAAGTTTTAAGTTTGGGGTTGTGATAACGGTTGAAAAACCGTTATTTTTATGCTTAAAATTGATACCAAAAGCAACCTTTAAGACTTAGAAACTAGCTTGAACTCATATTTTTGCTTTAGTTTTTTGAATAAGAGAGTTAAAAGTGAATTTAATGGTTCTGTGCAAGATTCCCTTGATTTTGTAGGCTAATTGAATGGTTTGAAAGAAGAATTGAAGTACCGAATGATTGGAATGTTGAAAAATCAACCAGAAACCAGAAAAGTCAACTAGTCAACCAGAAAAGTCAACCAGTCAACCAAAATGCTGAGAAGTCAACCAGAATACAGAAAAAGTTCCGCTGAGCGGTAAAATACCGCTGAGCGCCACTTTTCAGGTGCCAAAATCACCGTTGAGGGGCAAAAACAACAGTTGGGGGCAAAATGGATCATGCGCTATTATCGCTCAACGGTAAAATACCACTAAGCGCCACTCTAAATGGTCTTGGACCAGTTTTCTGTTACTTTTATGGGCTTGGGCCTAATTTTCTGTATTTTTAGAATAGTATATAAGCTTTAGGACGTCCTAGGGTTTGTATCTTTGGCTGGGAGGAAGCAGAAACACATTTGTCACCCCTTGGGGGTAGATTGGGAGATGGTGACAACTCTCTTCTTTTCTTTCTAGGGTTTTTCTATCTCTTCCATTCTTTCATTATTGTTCAACTAGTTTCACCATGAATATGATGAACTAAACCTTGTATTATTGTTGGGGAATCAATGTAATCTTGTGAAACTCTCATATATGAAATTTGTGTTTAAACATCTTATTTGAGATACATGCTTTATTTCATCATTAGTTAGGGTTTTTCTTCTTTGCTCAAAGCATGCATTGTTTAACTCATGCGATGTCATGATTATTGATTTTGTCGATATGGGAACGTACGGGGAAATCTAGATCCGGGGAAATTCTCCCAATAGCATATTGCCTAGACATAGGGATATGAGAATTGGTTGCCTTTAAGCTTCTGTGCTTCAGAATTAATTATTAGGGATGCTAAGAATTGTATGAACTCGTAATTAAGGATAGGCTTTCTTGCAAGGTACTTTAGAGAGTGGCATTAACATTGATTAAAAGAATGATGACTTCCTAAAAGTATATGAGAGTGGATAAGATGAAATTGATTACCCCAACAACATACTCATCTATCTAATTTGTTCAAGTGTTTGTGTTCCTCTTTTCCATTGATCAAAACTCATGCATACATGTTTACTTATTGTCTTTTGCATTTAAAACCTCAAGAATTTGTTCACAAGTCTTAAATAATCAACAAATCATATAACTAACTAGGTCGTGAGTCCTTTGGGAGAATGATACTTGGTCTTACCGAGTTTATTACTTGATACAATTCGGTCACACTTGCCGAGGGTTAAACAAGTTTGTGGCGTCGTTTTTCGGTGTTCATAAATTTGTCATCAGCTTGCTGGGAGGCAACGGAGTTTCTGATTTTGTTTTTTTTTATTTAGTTGTGTGGTGTGGATTTGATTTTGTTTTGTAGTAATGACAGCATCTGCTGATGGATGTTGGACATCATCTACTGAGGGATGCTAAGAGGATTCAGATAACAACATCTACTGATGGATGCAACTACGAAGAATGATAACCGATTTTTCTGAACTTTTCTTTTTAGTTGATTTAATTGTGTGGTTTTGATTTGATTTTTTTCTTTGTGTGTTTGAGTTTTTTTTTAGGTTAAATGTTGCTTCTTATGGCAGTAATGATAACATCTATTGATGGATGCTTCTACAACATCTACTGATGGATGTTGCTATGATGAGGATGATGAATGAAAACATCTACTAATGGATGCTTCTATGGAAGAAGACGGTGACTAAACATCTACTGATGGATGTTAGGTGATTAGGCATCTACTAATGGATGCCGATGAAGATGAGAAAGATTGGTGTCTATTAAGGGATACCAATGAAGATAAGAAATATTAGCATCTACTGATGGATGCTATGTGATTAGACATCTACTGATGGATGTTACTGACAACACTACTGATGAATGCTATGATGATGAAGATGGTGTCAAGCTAGTGACGTTAAAGAAGCGCTTACTAGGAGGTAACCCAGCTTTCTAAACCTTTCTTTTTAATCAATTATTTTGTTATTGTACTTTGCTTGAATGAACCACACTGCTTTGATTTAACTGTGTTGTGTTTTGTGATGAGTATTGCTTTGTGATATTCTAGTGTATTGATTAATGTTGAGATGATGCATGATGTGCTGATATATAGGTGATGGCTCACAGTGTATGAAACAAGTGCTTGAGGTAAAACTTGACTGAGATACTGAGCGTGGTGTTTTTCTAAATTCTGGGACTTGTGAGTTTAACTGTATGAGATTTGGGCTTCAGAGTTTTTTGTGAATAATTGCTATTACTTTGGAAGCATGAATGATTTTGCCCAAATTTTCTGTGATTGAACTATTTTCTTGAAGGATTCATATGATCAAGGCCATCTTTTGTTGTCCCTTATTCTTTTAGCCTTCACATGAATTTTTGCCAACTGAAAAGAGAATAAATTTTTCTTACCTTTGCACCTTGAGCCTTATGTATGTTTGAAAAACCTTTTTTTGAAAATCTTTACCTTGAGTTGAGTTGAGAACATTTGATGAGGTATTGACAAAGGTTCAAGTTTGGGGTTATTGGAAAAATTGAAAAGAAAAAGCATTGAGTTAAGCAGTGAGTACATGAAAAGCAAAAGCAAAATAAAAAGAAAGATGAAAAGAAAAAGAAAAGAAAAGCTCAATGCAAGGGAAAGCTGGGAAAAAGAAAGAGAGTTTGTGCTTGAATGATGAAATCATAAATGACTCTCTTAACTCAAGGATTTTGCTAACCAAAATAACAAATTTCGTTATTAGCCCAACCAAGTTACAAGCCATGAAAAGGCCTTGTGATGACAACTTGCTTGTGAGTATATTTGATTGTGGCTAAATGAAAGGCAAAGTTAATTTGTGTGGCATTGTGATAGCAGAGTGAAAAAGACACCAACACCTCACTATAAACTTTTGAGTGCTTGAGTGATACACTTTTGAGTGCTTGAGTGAAACATTGTCCTTGTTGAGGAGTAGTTCTTTGAATTTCTGATTACATATTTGCTTGGTTGATTGATCATTCTTAAGGATAGCATCTGTTGAAGTATATGAGCATCACATTGATTTTGATTGAATTAAGGCATTTGCACATCTTTACTGACATCTTTATGCTGAATTGCTAAAAGTTATTCTTGTCCTGGAAGGAAAAGTTTTGAAAAATGTTGAGTATTTGTAGTGATTGTTCTGAAAAGCTGAGTTACAATCTG